CCGGCTCCATGCTCCCCCGTCCCCAAGTGACGAGGGAGCATGGAGCCGGCTTCCCGGCCAATCAGGAAGCTGGGCAGCGTGTGATGACTCGCTGCCCGGCTTCCTGATACCAGAAGCTCAGGCATCGGGCTAAGCATGACGAGTACTCGCCCAAATACTCGGCATCGGCACCAATACCGATACTAGTATCGGTATCGGTGCATCCCTAGTATTTATGGTCAAAAACATAAATATGAATTTCTATCTCACTCCTAATAACCATTTCCATCTAGAAGCTTGTAAACTTACTTATCGACGATAGGATGAACAACTCAACGTCTGAACAATGTAACATTATCACTGCTTGCTGGAAGCAATGCATGATGGGAGGTGTAGTCTTGAGAAATGGAGATTGAATCACATCAAGCAGCAGGGAAAGAGACGCAAAGCACACTGGGGATCCAGGAAGTTGTTGGAAGTGATGGACAGACGGAAGGCGGCACTCACTACATAAAAGGGATATTGTCATGTAAGCTTTGATTGTATTATCAGAAACAACTCTACTATGTATTCCTATTACAGTGCTGATGTCATAACAGGAGAGGAGATGATGCGACTTCACAACTCTTTTAAAAACTGAAGTTTTAGCTCCATATATTTACAAATATTTCTGGAAGCCACACTGCGCGGTCAAGGCCCCTCTGTGAAGTGTGGTCCCTAATAGTGATCAGCACACTGGCCTGGTTTTGGTTTGCTTTGATGTTCTCTGAACCCAACCGGAAATATGAGTTTGGCGAAGATCCAAGCAAACCGAAGCTGGGGCCACCTGTGCCTGAGCCATCAATGACGCTGAGCAACCCACACAGCCCACCTGCTAAGATGCAGGTGTCTGCTCCAATGACGCCGTGGGGCCACCAGTGCCTTAGCAACCAATGACGGTGTGCAGCTCAGCCACCAATTAACCAATGACGTCGGGTGGATTGCTGCGTCACTGGTTGCTAGGACACGGACGGAGGTTTGGTGGGTGGGCAAAGTGGCCAAATCGTTTGCTCATTCAGCGAACTGTGAACACCTTGGGTTCAGGTTGAACTCACGCTCAACGCAAACATGGAGCACATCCCTAGTCCCTAGTCCTGGAAGATATATAACAATGAATACATTGAGGGCAGGTATGTCTGGAGGTAGTCCATTTCTCCTTCAAGGTGCAAGGACAAACCAGAAGTCTTTGAGCTCCAGTTCGGTGACTTTACCTAGGCTGAGATGTCATCAGTCTGCTGCAAGCAGGAGGAAATGTCCCCTCCCCCAGAGATCAGTCTTCTGCAGGCAGGAGGAAGCATTTCCTCAGTCTCCCCTCCCCCAGTGATCAGTCTGCTGCAAGCAGGAGGAAGCATTTCCTCAGTCTCCCCTCCCCCAGAGATCAGTCTGCTGCAGGCAGGAGGAAACATTTCCTCAGTCTTCCCTCCCCAGGAATCAGTGTGCTGCAGGCAGGATGAAGCATTCCCTCAGTCTCTTATCCCCCCAGTGATCAGTCTGCTGCAGACAGGAGGAAGCATTTCCTCAGTCTCCCCTCTGCCAGTGAGCAGTCTGCTGCAGGAAGGAGGAAGTAGATGGTGACCCTGGATGATGGCTAAACACATATGACACCGACATTCTGGAGAGTAAAGCAGATGGAGATATTGTCAGGGAGAGTGCTGTGAGAGGTAATTAACACCGGTAAGTGGAAGACTTCCACATCACTTAGCATGCATCTTCTAACATGAAGAATAGATCTGATGAGATGCGCGTGCTATGGAGAGCTGACTTGCGTTCCCATGTGTTCCCAATTCAGAAACACAGAAGCTACAGAGCCACCTAGTGACAGCGGACAGAGGTTGCATGGTCCAGTACTCACCTGCTAACCAGATTTCTTTTTAAAGTTTGAACCCATCACTCAAAGTCTACAGGATGAGAGCTTTTCATACATCGCAGTCCATTTATGAAGCTGGAAGAGAAAAGAGCTTTAAAAGGAGAACTATGGGGTTAGGGCTTTTCCCCATAGTTCTCCTTAGGGTAACGGGAGGACACAAACTAGCGTCCTCCCGTCACCCAAAGCTCAGTATATAGAGAGCTACAGCTCGCGGTATACTGAGACGCCGCAGCCGGAGCGGATCCCGACATCGATGTCGAGATCCGCCCAGCTGCGTGAGTGACAGCTGGCTCTGCCTATCTAGAGGCAGAGCCAGCTGTAACCGCCCCCTCCCTGTCTGTTCTTCCAGTCAGCGCTGGCGGATCGGAGGGGGGAATCCAGCCCCTCCCCTGTCACGGCAGAGAGCCGTGACAGGATCGAGAGGCAAACGAACGCCGGTATGTGTTCCCTCACCTCCCGATCTACTGAGCCGACCTGTGACAGTCTCATTGTCACAGGTCGGCTAGAACTATGAGGTGAGTGGAAATCACTCACCTCATAGTTCCTCTTTAAAAGGTGTCCGCTAAACTCTGCATGTAAATTAAAGGGACACACCTTTGTGCCACCCGTGGAGGGTAGAGGGTTCAGCACCACTCCAATAGGACCAGAACCCTCTCTGCTCTCAATCATCTCTCTGGCTTTATGATTACAATTCGGAGCCATGTACTCGAGGCATTCAAGTGTTACATCATCAGTGACCGTCCAATGGCCAAAGAGGATTGCTACGAGAACCAAAAGAAGTGGCAGGGAAGAGGGTGGCAGCGGGAGATGTAGATTATGTTGGCAGCCCACCAACATAGGTTTAATTCTGCTCTATGTTACTTCATTATTATTCATTGAGCTCATTGTCTAAGCCCAGGAGATGCTGATCAGAAGAGTCATCATAGGACAGCCTTTCTTAACCAGGGATTCTCCAAAGGTTGGTAAGGGTTCCACACTCGGGAATACCGCCAAGGAGGTTAATTCATTTTGTTGCCCTTCTCTGGACTCTCTCCAGCTCCAGGACATCCTTCCTGTGTATTGGTGACCAAAACTGGACCGCATACTCCAGATGAGGCCGAACCAGCGATCTATAAAGTGGTAACATTATAGATTTGTCTCTGCAGTACATTCCCTTTATAATACAAGGCAGAACTCTGCTCGCTTTGTTTACCGCGGCCTGGCACTGCAAGCTATTGTTCAATCTGTGGTCTACTGTGACCCCCAGATCCTTTCCCATTTCTGACTTCCCTAGTGGGCTTCCCATTAATATGTATTCCTCTTGCCTCTAACCCCAAAATGCACATTCTTGTGGACCTGGTAACATTTGTTGTAAATCTGGATTTTCTATCCTCCGATGGAGTCTTGCGCCCCAAAGGGTCAAGGATAGGGCCCCATTTCTTCAGGAGACACCCTCGTGCCATTTGTGTGAGTGTTCACATGCACTTTTTTTTCTTCACAGTGTTTAGTTTTTGCACACCCACCACGGGCTTAAAAAAATTAATAAAAAAAAATTGGCTCCTCCAGCCAAGGCGCAGGTCACATGACACAGGGGTGTAAGCAGACAATAGGTCAGCACGCCAATGAAATAGAAAATAACGTTTAATAAAATCAAAAAACTCTCCTTCTAGAAACTTCGGTGTAAGGCGCACGCTTAGTCCTCCAGCTCTCCCATGTCGGTCTCCGTGTCCTGCCAGGCGGCCCCCTTGAAGAGCAGGAAGTGGGAGTTACTGGTGACGGGGGGCTTGTTGGGGTCTGACTGGACCTGTTCGGGTTTCTGGGAGGCGAACGGGAAGGGCCCGGACGCGATCACCTTCGTCTCCAACTCCGCCAGGATTTGCAGGGAGTACTTCAGCTCTTGATCACTGTCAACAGAGAGAAGATTCTGGGTGTCAGATACGTCTGCTGAACTCCGGACTCACCTCCAGTCTTGTACAGTTGTACCGGCCCCATCTCCTTAGCCCGCCCCATTTCCTGGCTGGACGATGTCTGGTATCATCTAGGTCTTTCCTCCTCAGCCTGACTGTCCCTGGCCCCGCCCCTTTCATTGATTGGATTGCAGTTCTGTCAATCCTTGGTGGCATTGAAGACAGCTGTCGGTCTCTCTGCCTGCCTAGTATCCCATCTATGGCCAGCTCAGTAGCTGTCTTTATAGCCCCTAAGCAACCAATCAGAGCCAAGCATGCATTGAGGGGTAATAGCCGCAGAAATTGAAATGACGACATGGAAACACAGACAGTCCATATTTTAGACACTTAAAGAGACCCTGTCACCTGACAATGCATATAAGTAAAAACTTCACATAAGATGATATGTGCATTTAATGTATTGTATTCATGTTACATGTAAAAGTATCTGCCTATGGGTGCCGCCATCATGGATTTGATTTCAGCAGCCCCAGCAGACTCATGTGACACTCCATAGGCAAACCCTGGCCCTCTAGCTGTGGTGAAACTGCAAATCCCATCATGCCTCTGCCTCTGGGAGTCACTTACCTGTACATGGTGAACAGACAGGGGATGTTATAATCCCGCAGAAGAAGCAGGGTGGGAAGCCAGCCCTCCGTAAGACCCTGCGAGGCGTGGAATCCTGCAAAACGCAGAGACAAGGTGGAATGAATTTGTGATCAGACCATAAAATCTATATTGATCCGTATAGACCATAAAATCTATATTGATCTGACGTAACAGGTACCAACTGGGGGGAAGACATAAAAGAGTACTGTCGCCCCCGGCAACAAAGGATGTTACAAAGTTTCCTGAAACAAGATACTTTTTATAGCTCAACAGCTCCACCTTCAGGCAGGGACTGGAACTGCAGCTTAGTAAAATCAACTCTGTATGAGTGATGAGAGAGAGGTATGGGAGGGAGGAGAGAGAGAGAGAGAGAGAGAGAGGTATGAGAGGGAGAAGAGAGAGAGAGAGAGATAGGTATGAGAGGGAGAAGAGAGAGAGGTATGAGAGGGAGAAGAGAGAGAGAGGGAGGAGAAAGAGAGGTATGAGAGGGAGGAGAGAGAGAGGTATGAGAGGGAGAGTAGAGAGAGAGAGAGGGAGGAGAAAGAGAGGTATGAGAGGGAGGAGAGAGAGAGGTATGAGAGGGAGAAGAGAGAGAGAGAGAGAGGGAGGAGAAAGAGAGGTATGAGAGGGAGGAGAGAGAGAGGTATGAGAGGAGAGAGAGGGAGAAGATAGAGAGAGGTATGGGAGGGAGAGAGGGAGGAGAGAGGGACAGGGAGGAGAAAGATAGGTATGAGAGGGAGGAGAGAGAGGTATGAGAGGGAGGAGAGAGAGAGAGGGAGAAGATAGAGAGCGGTATGGGAGGGAGAGAGGGAGGAGAGAGGGGTATGAGAGGGAGAGTAGAGAGAGAGGCATGGGAGGGGGAGAGGGAGGGGAGAGAGGGGGGGAGGGTGTATGAGAGGGAGAAGAGAGAGAGTGGTATGGGAGGGAGAGAGGGAGGGGAGAGAGAGAGAGGGGTATGAGAGGGAGAGGAGAGGTATGGGAGGGAGAGAGGGAGGAGAGAGAGAGGTATGAGAGGGAGAAGAGAGAGATAGGTATGGGAGGGAGAGAGAGAGGTATGAGAGGGAGAAAAGAAAGAGAGGTATGAGGAGGGAAAAGATAGAGAGGAGAGAGAGGTATGGGAGGAAGAGAGGGAGGCTAGAGAGAGAGGGAGAAGAGAGAGAGAGGTATGGGAGGGAGAGAGGGAGGAGAGAGAGAGAGGTATGAGAGGGCGAAGAGAGAGAGAGAGAGATATGGGAGGGTGAAGATAGAGAGGTATGGGAGGAAGAGAGGGAGGAGAGAGAGATATATGGGAGGGAGAAGAGAGAGAGAGAGAGAGAGAGAGGTATGGGAGGGAGGAGAGAGCTATGAGAGGGAGAAGAGAGAGAGAGAGATATGGGAGGGAGAAGAGAGAGAGAGAGAGAGATATGGGAGGGAGAAGATAGAGAGGTATGTGAGGAAGAGAGGGAGGAGAGAGAGGTATGTGAGGAAGAGGAGAGGGAGGAGAGAGAGGTATGTGGGAGGGAGAGAGAGCAATGGGAGATAGAGAGGAGAGAGAGCAAGAGGGGGCAGAGAGAAGAGATAGAAGAGGGGGGGAGAGGAGGGAGAGAGAAGAGAGACAGACTGCATGATGATTAAACTGTATGAAAGCCTAACAATTTGCTCCTCCTATTTAGGTTACATTGCTCCCCGCTTTCAATCTGGACTACAGAAACACCGCCTCCCCTTATGTTATACAGAAGGGGATATGGGGAGGTGTTTTGTAGTCCTCTCCTAGGGTGACAATACCACTTCTCTACAATACAGTGAGTGTGGACAGGAAGTGTGTTACTGGCAGGATCACCAAGGGAAAATAAAGGAAAACATCCCGAAACAAAAAAAACAGTAAAAAAACGAATGCAGCCTCTTCATCTGAAGACTAGTACGCTGTTATATTTTATTTTATTTTTCGTTCTTAGGTTTAGCTATCCCTTAACACTTTATTTCATGTTTATTTATTTACATATTTATTTTTGTGTATACTTATTAATTAATGTATTATTTATCTCTGTATTTATTAATTAACCTATTTATATATTTATTTATGTATATATGTATATATGTATGTGTGTATGCACTGTATGTACTGTATATATGTATGTACTGGATGTATATATGTATGTACTGTATATATGTATGTACTGGATGTAGCTATGTATGTACTGTATATATGTATGTACTGGATGTATATATGTATGTACTGTATATATGTATGTACTGGATGTATATATGTATGTACTGTATATATGTATGTACTGGATGTATATATGTATGTACTGGATGTGTGTATGTATGTACTGTATATATATGTATGTACTGGATGTATATATGTATGTACTGGATGTATGTATGTACTGGATGTATATATGTATGTACTGGATGTGTGTATGTATGTACTGTATATATATGTATGTACTGGATGTATGTATGTACTGGATGTATGTATGTACTGGATGTATATATGTATGTACTGGATGTGTGTATGTATGTACTGTATATATATGTATGTACTGGATGTATGTGTGTATGCACTGTATGTACTGTATATATGTATGTACTGGATGTATATATGTATGTACTGTATATATGTATGTACTGGATGTATATATGTATGTACTGGATGTGTGTATGTATGTACTGTATATATATATGTATGTACTGGATGTATGTGTGTATGCACTGTATGTACTGTATATATGTATGTACTGGATGTATATATGTATGTGTGTATGCACTGTATGTACTGTATATATGTATGTACTGGATGTATATATGTATTTACTGGATGTATATATGTATGTACTGGATGTATGTGTGTATGTACTGGATGTATGTATGTATGTATGTATGTATGTACTGGATGTATGTGTGTATGCACTGTATGTACTGTATATATGTATGTACTGGATGTATATATGTATGTACTGGATGTATATATGAATGTACTGGATGTATATATGTATGTACTGGATGTATATATGTATGTACTGTATATATGTATGTACTGGATGTATATATGTATGTACTGTATATATGTATGTACTGGATGTATGTATGTATGTATGTACTGGATGTATATATGTATGTACTGGATGTATATATGTATGTACTGGATGTATATATGTATGTACTGGATGTATATATGTATGTACTGGATGTATATATGTATGTACTGGATGTATGTATGTACTGGATGTATATATGTATGTACTGGATGTATGTATGTACTGGATGTATATATGTATGTACTGGATGTATGTATGTACTGGATGTATATATGTATGTACTGGATGTATGTATGTACTGGATGTATATATGTATGTACTGGATGTATGTATGTACTGGATGTATATATGTATGTACTGGATGTATGTATGTACTGGATGTATATATGTATGTACTGGATGTATGTATGTACTGGATGTATATATGTATGTACTGGATGTATGTATGTACTGGATGTATATATGTATGTACTGGATGTATGTATGTACTGGATGTATATATGTATGTACTGGATGTATGTATGTATGTACTGGATGTATGTATGTACTGGATGTATATATGTATGTACTGGATGTATGTATGTATGTACTGTATATATATGTATGTACTGGATGTATGTGTGTATGTACTGGATGTATGTATGTATGTATGTATGTATGTACTGGATGTATGTGTGTATGCACTGTATGTACTGTATATATGTATGTACTGGATGTATATATGTATGTACTGGATGTATATATGAATGTACTGGATGTATATATGTATGTACTGGATGTATATATGTATGTACTGTATATATGTATGTACTGGATGTATATATGTATGTACTGTATATATGTATGTACTGGATGTATATATGTATGTACTGGATGTGTGTATGTATGTACTGTATATATATGTATGTACTGGATGTATATATGTATGTACTGGATGTATGTATGTACTGGATGTATATATGTATGTACTGGATGTGTGTATGTATGTACTGTATATATATGTATGTACTGGATGTATATATGTATGTACTGGATGTATGTATGTACTGGATGTATATATGTATGTACTGGATGTATGTATGTACTGGATGTATATATGTATGTACTGGATGTATGCATGTACTGGATGTATATATGTATGTACTGGATGTATGTATGTACTGGATGTATGCATGTACTGGATGTACTGGATGTATGTATGTACTGGATGTATGTATGTACTAGATGTAGGTATGTACTGGATGTATATATGTATGTACTGGATGTACTGGATGGATGGATGTATGTACTGGATGGATGGATGTATGTTTCTAATTCTTGTTAACACCAAGGAATCATTTAATCCCTAAATCTCCAGAACAAGCAAGAAATGCCCCAATAAGTCTCTGTAAATCTAAATTTAATCTGTTTTTCTCCCGGCACTCCCCACTCCCCGTCCATCCATTCCATGCCTGACCTCACTTAACCACCTGTCCGGTTGGCCCTCTCTATCCCGGGCCCAGCTCCACGTTGTGTGCTCAGCTGTCCCTGTGTATCTCCACAAGACTTTCACTGGCGTAGCTGGGAGATTATTCCGGCTCTCTCCCTCGCTGCGCTGGGGTTTCAGGCTACCGCTTCTGGCAGGGCAGGGGTCAGATACAGGGGGCTTCGCGGGAGATTCTCGGATCAACCCTTACAAGGGCCATAAATACGTGGCATCGTTTGGCTCCTAAAGATGTAACGATGGAGCTGACATTTCCAGCATTGGATTGTAACCCGGCACCTATGAGCTCATCGTCTGATGGGGTATTTGAAGGCTCGAAGAATATCGGAAGCCAAAATATTTTTTTTTTAAGTTTTCGATCGAGCAGGTAATGTTTGAACTGTCCATTTTTTTTGGGTGGGGAGGAGTTGCTGTCTGTGCTACATTGGAGAGATTTCCCTTCACTTCCTGTTCTGGGGATACAATAGGAAGTGAAGGGCACATTTTCCAAAGTGAGTTGTCAACAGGACAGGTATCAGCATTGAAAGGTTTTCCCTTTTTTTCTTGCACCGGTAACAGCGTTAAATTTTAGGCTTTCCCATCTTTTTTTGGTCCCGGTGACACCAGTCACTGATCAAGACATAGGCAGCAATAAAAGGGGTTCTAACCCTTCCTTACTCTTTCCAAAGCTAAAAACAAAATTTGCTTTAGATAAACTTTAAAGCAGAACTTTCAAAACTATGGGAGGTCCTCTTTACAGGCCCTACCCCCAAATAACTTTAAAAACCTGTCAGAAATAAAAACCCAAAAAGTAACAACAAAATTGTAAAAAATATTTACCTTGGCATTCCT